GAACAAGATGAAGAGGCAGGCCGGGTGTGGTGGCTCACGCCTGTAATCCCAGCACTTTGGGAGGCCGAGGTGGGCAGATCACTTGAGGTCAGAAGTTCGAGAACAGCCTGGCCAACATGGTGAAACCCCATCTCTACTAAAAATATTTTAAAAATTAGCCAGGCATGGTGGTGCACAACCGTAATCCCAGCTACTCGGGAGGCTGAGGCAGGAGAATCTCTTGAACCCAGGAGGCAGAGGCTGCAGTGAGCCAAGATAGAGCCACAGCACTCCAGCCAGTCTGGGCGACAGTGAGACTCCATCTGGGAAAAAAAAAAAAAAAAAGACGGAGAGATACTGTACACTTTAAGAAAGAGTCCCCCTTAGAAGCAGTTCTCCCATTTGGTCAGCTGGATCCCAGACACATGATTTTCCACACCTCTTCCCTGGGACTTCTGCGATCACAAGCAGAAGAAGGCAGATGGCATTTTAATAACATAGTAATTCCATTAGAAAAAAATGTGACTTAATATTATTAATCTGACAGGCAGAAATGTCGGGAATTGGACTCAATGAATTTAACCAACTTCTCTCCATTTAGTACCAATTACACTTCATTCAACCAGGGAGAACTACAAAAAACATACAAGTAAATTTAAGAGCTTGCTGTAAAGCACTTCATTTCGAAGAAATCTTCCTAAAACACTTAGAAGTTATTTTCCAAAAGATTTATATTTTATAAATTCAACAAAGGGTTCTTCTTTTCCTTTAGAAAACTGTTAGCTTTAAGATAACAGTTTGCATACGATTACTCCTTTTTTTAAAATCCCCAAGAGTTTACATGAGAATGCTAGTAGTTCAGCCCTGAATGAAAATAGAGAAAGAGAGAAAAGAACTCCAAATTTAGCTACATCAGAAAACTAGAAAACAGTTTCAGTGCACACACTGGACAGAACGTGCACATTCAAACCCACTCCCCAGCAGCCTCTGCATTCATTACATGTCACGCTAACATACAGGATTTATGTTAAACTCTACACACTGGAAGTTTTTATAATAGGAGAATGTGTAGGTTATCATTAATTCAAGTTGTTTTTTTTTTTTTACCAACCACATGCCAGACACAAGTGATGCAAGCACAAGATACCAGCTCTGTCCTCAAAGAATGGCAGTCTGGCTATTAAAGTGCTGGCACCTGCCAGTCCTCTGAATAGGGAGCGTGCTTTTAGGGACAGTGCTGGAACTGGTGGAGAACACAGCCACACTGTGGTCTGCCTGCCACCTCCTGGACCTCCCCATACCCGCAGAGGCCCTTGGCCTCTTTTCTTTCCCACCCACATTCAGACCCTGGGTAACCTCACCTGATGTGACCTCCAGTCTACCTCCAGCCCAGGCTTATCCTTTTAGCTCCAAACCTGTAGACCCAAAAGCCCACTGGACATTGCTACAAGGATGTCTAACAGGCACCTCACATTCAACACACATAAATCCAAACTCACAACAGAAAGCTTCCCACCAGGCAGGACCTCCCCAAGTCTTCCCCATCTGAGTTTCTTAGCTCAGGTCATATACTTTGGGGACATCTTAACTCCTCCCTCTCTACCCATCCCTCTCCCAACTTCCAATCTATAAACGAATTCTATTGTCTCAACCTCCAAAACACATGCAGAAGTCAACCTCTTACCCACCGTGAACTAAGCCACTGGCATCTCCTTGCTAGCTTGTTCAACAGTCTCTTAGCTGGAATCCTCGCCTCTGCCCTTGCCCCTCTGCAGTACATTCTCAAAAGAGATGCCAGAGCAAGCCTGTTAAACAGTCTATCATGTTACTCCTCCTCTTGAACAAAACCTTCCGAAGGGTTGCCAACCTATTCAGAATAAACACTGAAGTCCTCACTATGACCTGGCAAGGCACCACTACTGAACCTAAGTCACCTCTTTATCCTCAGCTCCTGCTTTTCCCTCCACCACCCGCTGCACCCTAGCCACACCAGGCTCTTCCTACCTGCCCTTCCTCCTACACTGCTTGAGGCTTGGTCAAAACTTCACCTTCAGAGTGAGACCCTTCCTGGCCATCCTGGCTACAATTCTGATCCTCCTCATCCTCGGTCCAAGTCACTGTCCCCCAGGAGCCACGCACTTCGCTGCTAATGCTGGTCTCATGTGTAGAACGTTAGTTACCCCAGGGCAATGGTTTTCATCTATGTTGTTACTTCTCTAGTCCTAGCGTCTAGAACAATGCCTAACACATACCTGACAGTCAGTAATAAACAGTATATTGAATGAATGACTATCAGAACAAACAGAAACTGTATTACACATGGTCAAGGAAGGCAGAATCTTTAAGAACTGTAGAGATCAGAGGAGGGCAGATCATTAATCATCCCTGAAAGGAAATATAGCATCAAGTAAGAAGGAAAATTCCCCATGATATCCTACAAACATCATAAATGTTTTTATCAGCATAAACAGAGACCTTTAAATGCAAGCGACTTTCCTACTCTGATTCCGCATGCAGCAGCATCCCGTGTCCTATTAAAGTATCATCGTGTCAATATGGTAGTCAAGAGAAAATAAAAGACAAAAATAAACTATCATCATGTAACAACATAACTGTTCTCCTAACTTGAACATGATGATTTTCATATTTTAGGTCATGTGATCGACCCTGAACTCTGTTTTTGACCTTAACCAAGTCTCTCATATGATACTCCAGTGTCAAGGTATCGAAATGATAGAGGCAGGGGGGAGACAAATCCTAGGCAGAGAGGGGCGAGTCACCAGTGAAACCCAACCTTCAAGCCACAGTTTAAAGCCTGAAAGCCAAGCAACGAGTCTCCGACAAATCCACAGACTGGACTGCAAACCTCTCTTCCTGTTTGGTGCGCTTTCCTCTAATTAATCCCCACCCTTCACCTATTTTACATATACTTACCCTTCTCTAATTGGTTTATTACACTGTTGTGCCCATCTTTGAGTGATGACTTTGTTTTAGCCTTTTTTGCATACTCACAAGCAAATCAGCACACACTCCCCATTCTGAGCCCATAAAAGCCCTGGACCCAGCCACACCAAGGGAGACCACCTGACTTTGGGTGGAAGACCACCCTTGAGTCCCCTTTCTGCTGAGAGCTGTTTCATCACTCAATAAAACTATTCTCCACCCTCCTCACTCTTCGATTGTCGGTGTAATCTCATTCTTCTTGGACGTGGGACAAGAACTAAGGACCCAATGAATGCAGGTACAAAGAAAGCTGTAACACTATGGCCCTCGGCCCTCTGCTGGGAAAGGGCAGTCGCCCCACGTGACAGCCCACAGCAACGGGAAGCAGCTGGGGGGATGGAGGTAGCCCCAGAGCTATAGCCTGGAGCAGGGCAATGGGAGTGACAGGGCTGTTGACACTTTGCAACACCCTCTCTTAGGCTTCAGGGTTGCAAGCATCCCTGCTTGGGTGCCACTACCTTCCCCTTGTCTGGACACCAGAATCCACTGCCCCCTTGTCTGGATGCTGGAGTCCGCTGTGGGAGTTGCTTGCCACACGTCTAGCTGTAAGCTCTGCAGATCCCACTCTGGTGTCTGCACTTGAAACAGCTGGCGGGACCCGGCACTCACTCACCCACACACCCACTCCCGCCAGGGGCTGAGCATGAAGTCATGGCGGCCATGGTATCCGTGCCAGAGTGCAAACCAGGTGCCACCCGGTGGGCCAACTAGACAGGGCATCTCCTGCGGCGAGCCCGGACCCAGGCAAGGCCTGGGCAGGGGCCTCGCCAGCTGGAGGTCTCTGGCTGGCAAAGTGGCTGAGAAAAATCCTGCATCACAAACAATAATACCTAATAAGATATAATACAACAGTTGTAAAATAGTAAACAACAAATAGCACACAGCTGCGAATAGTACAACCGTGTCTGACCGTTATTCTAAAACACAAACTTCACAAGATACACATGCTCCTTAGGGAGTCAGGGCTCCTGTTTCCTCCAACCACCTACCACATTTAAGCGGGGAGCAGCTTCAAATGATTTAAACAGATATTGGCAATACACATTACAGTTTTCCTACTCAGATCTTAATAAATTCGTGTTGTAGCTGCCAGAAAAATAATAAGTAAAGATTGACATTCAGAATGACAGAATTAAACCAGATGAAAATCTTTCTTTACAGAAAGGGGATACTTGATAAAAGGCAAATCAGTTCCCAAAAGAATGAATGGGCTAAAACTTCTGTGTAAAAATATATCAAGGGCTACTGGGCAAGCGATGGGTTTGGTACCGACTTAAAACTATCTTGCCAGCAAAAATGGAGCGGAAGCATGAAAGAATAGGCAAAAACACCAACACTCCACACACACACACACACACACACACACACACACACACACAATCTCTCTCTCATAAACCCAAGAAACTAAGACCCGATGACACAAATTCACTGTTTCTCCTTCTCGTCACGGAAAAGCAGCTTGGAGGACCTACTGGTTACTAAATTGAAAACAAAAACAAAAAATATGCGTATATTGTGATGGACATGTCATGTTTCTCGCCTCTAACCTACCAATAACTTCATAAAAGTTAAAGAATTTCCATCCCTTCACGCTCAGCTGCGGGAAGGCCACGCTTTCGCCCGCCGCTGGCGTTCCCGGTCCCGACCGCGGCCGCCCCGTCCGCCGCCGCGCCACTCCCCGCCCGGCAGGCTCCGCCGCTCTCCACGGCCGACCTGGCGCAAGGGCCCGTGCAGCCACAACCTCCAGAGCGCTCCCGGCGGGACTAGAAAAGCAGCAGAAGCTCCAGGGCAACCGACAGCCGGTTCCGCGGCGCAGAGCGCCGCCGTCCCCCTCCCGCGCCCACCGCCCACCACCCACCAACACCGCCCCGCGCTCCCGCAGCGCCCGCCGCCCCGGCCCAGCCTGGCCCGCACCGGTGTGCCCAGGAGCGAGTCGCGGCAGCCCGGCCCCGAGCAGCGGAGGCCGATGATAAGGCGAGCACCTCCTGCGGAAAGGCAGGCCGCCGGCAACTCCTCACCTGCGTCCATCTTCCCAGTCCGGCCGCCGACTGACCCAAGCGGCGTCGCTCCGACGGGCCCGCAGCGCGACGCGGCGACGGGACGCCGCGGGGGCCAATCGGGGCGCGCGGCAGGCGGCAAAGAGGATACGGCGCGCAAGCGGAAATACGCGGGAGCCGCCATTTTGGCGTACGGCCGGGCCAACGCGAGCCCGGAGCGCCCTGCGAGCGGCGTGGGGTCGTGTCGCGGGACGACGGCTCGCTCTGCTGTCCGACGGGACACTGCGTGCCATGGGTGGCGCTTCCTCCTCTTAGAGGACCCGGGAGCAGTTGTCCAGGCGGCAGGGGCGGGCTCTGTCCCTGTCCGAGCAGCCATCTTGCGGTACGGACGTGCCCGGCGCGCCCATGTCGCCGTACGGACTGGCCCCGCCGGGGCGACTCCACCGCCCGCCTGCCCGCCTGCCGGCGGACGCTGCGAGGGGCCGGCTGCGCCCCGCTGGTCCAGAAGACGCCCGAACCCGCGCCTGGCTAGGACGCGGGCGGGGGCGGGGGCGGGGACGGGGGCGGGCCCGCGGCGGGCGTCTGCGCCTCCATCTTGCCGTACGGCGCGGACGCCGCGGGCCGGCCCACGTCCCGAGCCGTGTCGCCGCCGCGCTCCCTCCCTCGGGGCGGTCCGCGGGCGGGCGGGCGGCGAGGGCCGGGGCCTGGCGGCGCGGCTGGGCCAAGGCCCGCAATGGTGATCTGCTGTGCGGCCGTGAACTGCTCCAATCGGCAGGGCAAGGGCGAGAAGCGCGCCGTCTCCTTCCACAGGTACGCGGGCCCCGGGCCGCCACGCCCCCGCCCCGGCCCGGCCCTGCGGGGAAACTGAGGCCCCGCGGCCGGCCCGAACGCAGGGGGCGGGGGCGCCGGGCCTCGGCTGCCGGGGCGCGGGGGAGCGGGCGTGGGCGCTGTGTGACCTTGGCCCGGCCGCCGTCTCTGGGCCGGGCGCCTCGGGCAGAGCGGCCGCCCCCACCCCGGCCGCCCGGGTCCGCCCTGCGCGCGATCGATCCGGCCGGCGCCGCGGCTTCAGAAGCCGCACGTTCTGGAAGCGCAGGTCCCGGGCCGATTGTCCTGCTCGGCCGCGACTGCTGCCTCTCCGGACCGCGGGCGGTCGGCCTGGATGTCTGCGAGCAGGAGCGGCCGGGCAGATGCGACCTGCGCCTCCCTTGCTGACAGCCCCCGAGAGGGCTTTCCGGGACGGGGCCCCCGAGCCCGGGACGCGGGTCTGCGCGGAGAGCCTGCGGGACGGCCGGCTGGGGACCGCATCCTCCCGCGCTCCCTTAGAGCCTGGCCCGGGGCTCTCGGCCGCTTCCCACGTGGGCCCCCGCGGCAGGGCCCAAACCCCCCTAAGGCCTTGTGGGTTCAGCCTATTTCAGTGAGATTTCTGCGGATTACACGCAGGAGGCACCAGAACCGCGAACAGACTTTGAAAACCACTTTGTAGATGTTTCTGTTTTTTGTTGCAGGGTGTTACTTAAGTTTTAAAGACGGCAGTGGCACGTGTTATTTATAGTGTTATTGAAAGTTCACAGTAGTTTGCTGTCAGTCTTAAATCATTACAATGTATTATAAGAATTAGTAACTTTAGATTATTTCACAAGTCAGCCAGATGACAATTTCCTTCAGAGCTTGTGTCCTAGAAGTTTTGTTGCTATTTTTTGAAAACAAGGCAACGTGTTGCAACGGTCTAACATGGTATGGGGGGAAAGGACACCGGAATTGGGGGTGGGGGGCGTACCTTTGGAGTTGGCCTCACAAAGCATTCAGAAAGGAGGTTAGAAGGTCCTGTTGCTTAGAACGTCCCGGTCCATCCTGTTAGGGTTTGTCCTGGTCCATGCTGGCCTCAGGTGGAGCAAATAGCAGTTAGAACTGACCACCTTGCCCCTTATGTGCACCTTAGGGCCTGATTTTTTGTTTTTGTTTTTGTTTGTTTTTTCCGTTTTTTCTCTTTTTTTTTTTTTGAGACAGAGTCTCCCTCTGTCGCCCAGGCTGGAGTGCAGTGGCGCGATCTCGGCTCACTGCAACCTCCACTTCTGGGTTCAAGCGATTCTCCGGCTTCAGCCTCCCAAGTAGCTGGGATTACAGGCACGCGCCACCACGTCCGTCTAATTTTTTTGTACTCTTAGTAGAGACAGGGTTTCGCCATATTGGCCAGGCTGATCTCGAACTCTGGCCTCAAAGACCTGACCTCAAATGATCCACCTGCCTCGGCCTCCCAAAGTGCTGGGATTGCAGGCATAAGCCACCCCGCCAGGCTCAGGCCTGTTTTCTTAAACACACAGCTTGCCTTAATGAAGAAATGGTTATGAAGGATCTTTATTAGGTAATAAAGAAGAAATGGCTAAGCATCCTATTCAGTTTTTTCCTGCGCCGGTTGCTTTTCTCCCACAATTTTTAAATTATGGTATAATACATGTAACATGAAATTTACCATCCTAACTTTTTTTGGAGACAGAGCCCCACTCTGTCACCCTGGCTGGAGTGCAGTGGTGTGACCATAGCTCACTGCAGCCTCAACCTCCTGGACCCAAGTGGTCCTCTCACCTCAGCCTCCAGAATAGCTGGGATCACAGGCATGAGCTGCGGCTCCCAGCCTTTCCTACCACTTTTTCCAGTGTACAGTTCATGGCAGTAAATACTTTCACATTGTTGTGTAACCGTCACTACCATCCATCTCCAGAATTATTTTTATTTTCTAAAGCCTAATCTCTGCACCCGTTAAACACTAACACCCCAGTCCTCCTCTCCCTGGGCTCTGGTAACCCCCATTCTCCTGTCTCTTTTTTTTTTTTTTTGAGACGGAGTCTCGCTATGTTGCCCAGGCTAGAGTGCAATGGCGCAATCTCGGCTCACTGCAAGCTCCGCTTTCCGGGTTCACGCCATTCTCCTGCCTCAGCCTCCCGAGTAGCTGGGACTACAGGTGCCCGCCACCACGCCGGGCTTTTTTGTATTTTTAGTAGAGACGGGGTTTCACCCTGTTAGCCAGGATGGTCTCGATCTCCTGACCTTGTGATCCGCCCGCCTCAGCCTCCCAAAATGCTGGGATTACAGGCGTGAGCCGCCGCGCCCGGCCTCTCCTGTCTCTGTGAATTTGATTACTCTAAGTACCTCACGTGAGTGGTATCATGCAGTGTTTGTCTTTTTGCAACTAACCTATTTCATTCAGTATAATGTCCTCAAGGTTCATCTGGGTTGGTTGATTTTTTTTTGAGGGGAGAAGACTGGGTCTCGCTCTGTTCCCCAGGCTGGGGAGCAGTGGTGCAGTCTTAGCTCACTGTAACTTCGAATTTCTGGGCTCAAAGAATCCTCAAGCCTCAGGCTCCCGAGTAGCTGGAACTGCAGGCAAGCACCACTGTGGCCTGTCCCTGGGCTGTTAACTTTTAAAAGGAGCATTTTTATTCCTGGAGGTGGGCTTGCAGCAGGAACACAGAACTGTAGCTCTGGAGTCTTCTGGAGGTCTCCAGATTCTCAGCCGCTTGTGCACAGCCAGGGCTGCATTGGTGCAGTCCTGACCTCTCACGCCCCAGTCTATGTGGAGCTGGCCCTGGTTTTAGCACCCAGAGTCCTACCTTCCAGGCAGTTTGGGAGGGTTAGTTAGCAGTCAGCTCCTAGGAGCTATTTCCTGCTGTCCTGAGGCCGCCCTGGCACTGTCTCTCAGCATCCTGTGTCCCCATAGGGCATTTACCACAGCTGGGGAGCAGTTGGTTACCTTCTTTCCCATCCGCCCTACAGACTGTAAGCTCTGTATGGATAGACAACGGGTCTTTCAGATTTCTACTTCAGTAGAAGATGTTTCTTAAATTTTTTTGAAGTATTTTTTTAAGTGGATGAATTCAATACAGCTTAGGGTGCTTGCAAAAATACTTGTTTTGCTTTTACACTTGATTATTTTAAGGGGAGACATTTAATTATTTCTAATTACTTTGTCGTTTGTCCCGTAGGTTCCCGCTAAAGGACTCAAAACGTCTAATCCAATGGTTAAAAGCTGTTCAGAGGGATAACTGGACTCCCACTAAGTATTCATTTCTCTGTAGTGAGCATTTCACCAAAGACAGCTTCTCCAAGAGGCTGGAGGACCAGCATCGCCTGCTGAAGCCCACAGCTGTGCCATCCATCTTCCACCTGACTGAGAAGAAGAGGGGGGCTGGAGGCCATGGCCGCACCCGGAGGAAAGATGCCAGCAAGGCCACAGGGGGTGTGAGGGGACACTCGAGCGCTGCCACCGGCAGAGGAGCTACAGGTTGGTCACCGTCCTCGAGTGGAAACCCGATGGCCAAGCCAGAGTCCCGCAGGTTGAAGCGAGCTGCTCTGCAGGGTGAAGCCGCACCCAGGGCGGCCCAGGAGGCCGCCAGCCAGGAGCAGGCCCAGCAAGCCTTGGAACGAACTCCAGGAGACGGACTGGCCACCACGGTGGCAGGCAGCCAGGGAAAAGCAGAAGTGTCTGCCACAGATGCTGGCGATGAGAGCACCACCCCCTCCATCGAAGGGGGCGTGGCAGATAAGAGTGGCATTTCCATGGATGACTTTACGCCCCCAGGATCTGGGGCGTGCAAATTTATTGGCTCACTTCATTCGTACAGTTTCTCCTCCAAGCACACCCGAGAAAGGCCATCTGTCCCCCGAGAGCCCATTGACCGCAAGAGGCCGAAGAAAGATGTGGAACCAAGCTGCAGTGGGAGCAGCCTGGGGCCCGACAAGGGCCTGGCCCAGAGTCCCCCCGGCTCATCACTTACCGCGACACCGCAGAAGCCTTCCCAGAGCCCCTCCGCCCCTCCCGCCGACGTCACCCCAAAGCCAGCCACGGAAGCCGTGCAGAGCCAGCACAGCGACGCCAGCCCCATGTCCATCAACGAGGTCATCCTGTCGGCGTCGGGGGCTTGCAAGCTTATCGACTCACTGCACTCCTACTGCTTCTCCTCCCGGCAGAACAAGAGCCAGGTGTGCTGCCTGCGGGAGCAGGTGGAGAAGAAGAACGGCGAGCTGAAGAGCCTGCGGCAGAGGGTCAGCCGCTCCGACAGCCAGGTGCGGAAGCTACAGGAGAAGCTGGACGAGCTGAGGAGAGTGAGCGTCCCCTACCCGAGTGGCCTGCTGTCGCCCAGCCGCGGTCAGTACCGGAGCCTCGCGTACCCATGCTCCCTTCCCGTTAGGAGGGGTTTCTCTGCAACGTGGCCAGTGTCCCCTGAGCATTTCTTGGGGTGGAGGCGGAGGGGTGCGGGGTGCGTCGCAATCTCCCTGCGCTCTCAGGAGGCGGCTCTGGTCGTAGCCACACCTTGTAGATGAGGGAACCCGGGTTAGAAAGCAGGCCTCACTGCACCCGGTCCCACAAGAGACATCTGTGTGTATAGGGATGTAGGCCCTGAAGGAAGCAGGCAGCGCGCGTCAGCTGGGAGCACCTGAACGCCTCCGTGGAGAGTGCACAGGGAAAGATAGCTTCTGTTTCATACCTTACACAACAGAAATTCCAGATGAGTTAGGAGCTAGATGGAA